GGAGGGAGTATCCCATCCCTGAGGCAGCTTTCGGTTTTCCAAAGAGAGCGGGGTGCCTCTGGGGTGGGAAGAGGCTCCCTGACTGCTGGGGGGGGACGGAGGAAGGGGGCGTCGGTGGGTATCCCAGTCTAAGGCACCTCTGGGGGTAGATGGCCCCAGCGGGGCAATGGGTATCCCTGTCCATGAAGGGACAGTATTTCACCCCAAAGGGACAAATGCCATCCCAGGGCAGGGGTTACAGCCCCGTCGGGGGTGTGGAGCCCGGTCGTGGGCTGGGAGGGTTTATCAGACTCGGCTGGGGACTGAGGAGTAGGACTGATTATAAAGGGCGGGGATTTGGTTCTCCTCCTCCAGCTGGGTGCGAGAGCAGCTCCAGGAACAGGCTCCTGAGACTCTGGTTATCACCTCAGGATAACAACTTGAAACCCAGGTTAATTCTCCTTGGCCAAAAAAAAAAAAAAAAGGTCTCAACGTTAAGCGCTATTTTTGAAAAGCCAATTTTGCCGGCAGTAAAACCCAGCCTCTTAGTTTCAGCACAATGCAAAGAGCATCGCGACTGAAGAGGGAGCTCTCCCTCTTGACCACAGAGCCACCTCCAGGCATCACCTGCTGGCAAAATGAACACGGGCTAGATGACCTACGAGCACGTACGTACTTCTCTGGTGGGACTCTTCTGTAAGGGGTGTATTAGTTCGCGGCTAGATCTGGATTCGCCGGGTGGCGCGTACTTTATAAGCCGCATGGAATTTAGGAAAACGCTTAGGGGGGTTTGGTTTTGTTTCCCTTTAAATACAGCTTGGCCCGTGGCTCGGTCGGTCTGCCTACAGTTTTGATTGCCGCGGGGTGGAACTGGTCTCGGATCAGATGGACCTTTTTTTTTTTATTATTCCTGGATCTGCGCAGCGTTAGAGTTCTGTCACTGGGGGGGTACGTGGAGACTGTTGGACAAACTCGAGTGATTTTTGAATGTAACGCTTGTGTTTTAATCTTGCTTTTAAAGAAATTTTAGGAGGTGCAGACACACCATATGAGAAAGGAATATTCAACCTGGAAATAGTTGTTCCTGAAAGGTAAGTGAGCAACGACATCTAGTTCAGTAGCTGGTGTAGTGCTTCCTTCAAAGACAAGTTAGCTGATGTAAGGTGTTTGATAGAAGTGCTACCACTTTGGTCTTTCCTTTAGCCTCCCAACAAAGAATGCGGTTGATTACATTCCTTCGTTTATGGAATGTAATTAGTATTTCCATTGGCTGATACACCTACTTTGCACTGGACACCCTAAGACGTGCGATTAACAACCTAAAAGCACTATGACAAGATCTCTACCTTATCGTATTGTCTTAAAGCTTTCTGGAAAGGAGCTTTTTCTTGAGTAGAAAGTTTCCTATCGCGTTTGCTTCGTTGTGGAAAGCTACCCAGGAGAGTGCTAGTCGGACACAGCTGAAAGCGTCGAAGGCAGAGCGCTGCCTCCTCCAAAAATTTGTGGGGAAGGATGTCGGTAAACGGCTGGGAGAAGGAAATAACGGCCTTGCTTGGGTGATGAAGCAACTGGCGTACAAATATGAAAGTAATTTTTTGTTTCTTAACACTTATCCCTTAAAGGTACCCGTTTGAGCCCCCGAAGATTCGCTTTCTGACCCCCATCTACCATCCTAACATTGACTCTGCTGGAAGGATTTGCCTGGATGTTCTTAAATTACCACCAAAGGTAAGACAGCACTACTTGGGCACGGGTAAGTGAGCCTGAAGAGGATAATGAACTCCTCATCCTTTTCTTGTAAAAGCCTCATTGAATGTCTGTTTGCTACTGTCTTATTTACACGGGAGCACGGGAGTAAAGTTCTTGAGCGGCGTCTCCTTTGTTTAAAGGCTAGAACGTGACCTTCTCTGTTCCATATAAGTTTCCAAGGTTTTAAGGATTGGAGTCAAAAGGCATTAGGCGGCCCTGTGAAAATGGGCTACCCCAATACCGACCCAGCAGAGAGGCGCAGGGCACTGCCTGCGGTTGTCGGTCAGGCTTCCTCGGAGCGGCCACAGCCTGTGTGTTGGGAACGGATCTGGTGTTTTCCGTGGGCGTTTAAGTGCTCTAAGTCCTGAGGCAGCTTGCGGGCGGGTTGGGTTTAAATGCTGGAAGTCCTGGGGTTTCTCCAGGCAGCCCGTGGGCAGGTTTCTTTCTGCTTAACTCCTTCTCTCGCCCCGTTTCCTCGAAGGGTGCGTGGAGGCCTTCCTTGAACATCTCCACGCTGCTGACCTCCATCCAGCTGCTGATGGCGGAGCCCAACCCTGACGACCCCCTCATGGCAGACATAGTACGTGAGCTCCTCTGCCTCTCTTGTGGCCGTGGGCACAGGCTGGGAGGGAACGGTGTGTTAGACTTAGGCTGTGCTTCCACTTCGCTCGCTCTGGATTAACACGCTATCACGTTACGTAGCAGTGTCTGGATCAGGCCTGGGGGCGTGACTGCGTTGCCCTGAAGCGGCCGGGGCGCGCGGTACGGGGTTTATGCCAGCAGTGGAAAAGAGATGGTGAAGGTCTTGTCTTCGGGCCTGCCAGTGCAAACGGCAGCGTGCCTTCTTCAGGCAAACTAAAGCAAGCAAAATGAATTTTAGGCTTCATGCCGCGTGTTTGTCGCGGTTTTGGTCCGGTTCTAGGAGTCCTAAAGCCAGACCTTAGTCCCAGCTTCTCGGTGTGATGTTTGTATGAAATCAAATCTCTGTCTTTGTCTTGCTCGTTACATCTAGTCCTCGGAGTACAAATACAACAGGCTTTTTTTAATAAACAAGCCAGCAGAAGAGGGTAAGGAACAGGCTCTGCTTCCTCAGCTGGGTGTAGCTCCCTCTTTGGGAACAGTCTGTCTTGTCTCAATTTGCCGCTCCTGATCACTTTGTGCGGCTGCCTTTGGCAGCGTTCGTTCTTTCCTCCCCTTCTCTTCTGTGTTTTGGATGTGTATTTCATTTCATCATACTTTTTTTTTTTTTAAGACCATTAGATTCACTCCTTCCAAATAAATGTGTTCATTCGCAAATAATTGCAGTGCTCTTCAAGAAGAAGGAAGGACGAGTAGGACTGAAGCCTGATAAAACCCCTCCCCGTGGATCCTGCAGCCCCGTTGTTTCTCCCCCTCCCCGTGGATCCTGCAGCCCCGTTGTTTCTCCCCGACTCCGTGTTCTGCTGTGGTTGTGCCTTACACTCGGCTACGCCTGTTCTCCCCCTGCTCATCCGTTCACTGACGCGTCTCCCTAATCCCTGGCGAGTGCAGCCTTCCTGCCATCACCCTTCCTCTTTTCTGCCTCCATTCTGCACCCTGACTTATCTCACGGAGGAGCCACATAAAAATAAATGGCACTTGAGCAGCTCAAACCCTGTTCCCAAAAATCAGTTATGGTTGGACCTCCCCCCCTTCCCCGGGTGCTTTCCCTCCCTGCACCTGATTTGGACAACGTGCAAATTCCCCTGAGAGGGGGATGTCTTCTACCTGGAAGCCCCGTGAGCGGTGCTCGCTACTCCAGCTCCGGACACGCTTGCGAGTTAATCGTCTGGGTTGTTAAAAGGGCTCGGGGTGAGGAGATCTTCACCCTGACGCGCGTAGCCCCAGAGAGACCCGGCTTATATGTCTGTGTGGCGCTTCAAGGCTCAACCATCATCCTGCTCTCCTGTCATCTCCCCCTTCCTAAAATTTCCAGCAGCGGGAGCAGGATAATTACGGGTCGCTGAATAAAAGCTGGACGCGCGGTCAGTTCTGGTCTCCGTGGAGTCAGGGTGTTGGGAGGTGTACGCACGCGGAGCCGGGAGCGCGCGGCAGCGCTGAGGGCTGTCAAGCTAAGTTAGTCACAGCGGTTACTTTTATTTCTTGTGTTATCGCAGGCTTCCAAGCCTTTGGAAGAGAAAAGAAACCAAAGGGAAACGAGTACCAGCGATGAATCCACCGCGCGGAAAAGGAAAGGGAGTAGCATCAGCAAGGAGGAGAAGAAATCTCGCCTGGAGTCCTAGGCGGTTCTTGTTCTGGTTGAAGCTGTCGCCTTTGCTTTCGCCGTCCTCTTCTCTTTACACAGGGGTACCGAAATATTTTAACCGGTATGTAGCTGTAGCAGGCTTGGGTTTTCTATTTCCGAAGGTTTTTTTGTGAAAAGCTCCATTATGTAAATAAAATCTAAAGCTTTATTTATATTTTTCCGTTTTGTTGTGTGGAGTTTTTGGAATGCTGCCAAGAAAAGGAAAATTGGAAGTACCGGTTCAGCTTCCGCTTTCCAGCTTCCTCTCAGAGAAAGGGGAACAGCACCACGTGTTTCGGTTTCTCTCTTGCTGGTCCTGCCTCAGAACAAACCGAGAGCTGAAGCTGAGCAACAGCCACGTTAGGACTAGTTTGTGGAAATCCTTCTCTAGTAAAGGCTTCATCGTCCTTGTAACAGCAAGGCTGCTAAAGGGGAAGTCGGTCGTTAAAGCTTAAAGACTCCTAAGACTTCAAACTCCTGCTCTCCGGAGCAGCCTGATAGGTTCCAGTTGCACCTTGGACCACGTGACGTGACCCGGGCCGTGTCTCAACTCCCTTGCGTCCCCGGGAGGTGGCCAGGGACGAGCACCAGCTGAGAGGGATGAAGAGAAGCCCGGAGGGTGCCCGGCGGTCTGGGAGCGGGACGGCCGCGGAAGAGAGCGGGCTGTCAGGGAGGCCGCGTGCGGGGCGAGGCGGCGGAG